CAGTCTGCTTCCTTTTATCAAAGCAATACACATTTATGATTTAAAAAAGAAGAACAAAGTACTTAAAATGGGAAACTCTTTTTGTGTTGCTCATGGCATTAATTCTTAGAGAACATTCCTTTTAGTCATTTCTTTTTTATTTTTTTATTTTTATTATTTAAAAATTTTTTTTTATTGTGAAAATACCAAACAGAGGGCTTACATGGGCAAGGTAATGAGTACATTTCTTTATCAAGCATTGCTAATTATATTAAGTGAAGTAATCCAGGCCCAAAGAAACATAGGTCCCATGGTTTCCCTTATTTGCAATTACTAGTATGTGTCTGAGTCAAGCAGAAAAGGTCAGATAAGTTGATGTTAGGGAAATGAACCCTAAGATATGTATTCAAATGTTTTCTTTTCTTTCATGCGATTGTTTCTTACACATTTATAAGATTACTTTTTGTTGCTTTGTATGTCCCTCACCCACAATATAACCCCTGCTTTCACTGTATTTGATGTCAGTATAATTTGTGGAGGGGAAGGGAAAAAACAAATAGTTTAAATAGGGATACAGGTGGACCCATTGCAACAATGAGATGTACAAGTTGTTATGTTGAAAATGAACTTTACAACTTTGGTGTGGGGGGGGGAGGATTGGGTGGGGGGATGGGGGGGAGGATGGGAAGGGATGGGAAGGGGAAACAAAGGAGGAGGCTACAATGCTTGATAATGCTTGCCCATGTAATTTTAACCCCTCTGTACAGTATTTTCACAATAAAAAAAATTGTTGCCTCCTCTTTTGTTTTCCCTTACCATCCCTTCCCATCTCTACCCTCCTCCCCACCCAGCCAACGACTTGTACATCTCATTGTTGTTAGGTATAATGCTGACCTTATTTTTTCTGAATGTGTTTATCTGTAACTAGATAGTAGAAAATGCAACAAACATTGCTACATTACTTATTATCCTACTTGAAGATCAATAGATCTTGTTCTGAGAAATTAAGAAAATGATTTGTCTCCTTGTAGTCTCCAGTGTTTCTATGCTTACTCCATTACTTTGCTTTTAATCCTATGATCGCAAAATGGTTACCACTACCATAATTGCATGTGTATAATAGTCAGGAAGAAGAATAAATATGTACCAGATCTGAGAGTTGATCTATGCAAAAATCAGATACTTTTCTTGGAAGAATCCAGTAGAATTCCTCTTACAATGACTGAAAGTGGACAATTGGCCTCTCCTAGCAGGGGCAGTCTTCAAAAAGAACTTATTAAGCATAGGCCTATAGTAGGACTTAGGTACAAGAAAGGGAGTGTTTCACTTACAGTAGTGAAGTCTGAACTAGCAACCTAATCTATTGGTCATGTCTCTCCTCATAAGGACAGGAGTGTGTGTGTGTGTGTGTGTGTGTGTGCGTTTGTATGTGTGCTGCACATCAATATGCAAATGGCTGGGTAATATGGATTGCTTCCATATTCACCAGTAATGTGAATATGGCATCTAGTAGGTAGAGTTTCATTAAATGCCTTCCTATAAGGATTTGTTTCCATAATAACTTAGCTCGAATCTTATGATACTCACCTCTAGAAATTTCTTTAGTGATCCTTGCAGCCCATCAGACAAAGTCCAAAATTCACAAGTGGACCCTTGCCCAGCATCTCATCTTACTTCTCATATTTACTTCCATTTTCCACAATTGGAAAGCAGTCACTGTTTATTAACTGAACGGACAGCAAAAATACCAGGATCAGCAGCTTAGTTATTCCTTGTAATAAAATTCGTTGATTGGCTCTTCCTTCTAAAACACAGATGGTCTTTTTCTTCACTCCCCATCATGGAAAAGTTAATATGAAGAGGCACAGGAAGTTATCTGTTTCTCCAAGGCATTTGCCAACAGTAGAGCTCTCCTGACTGTCTATGTACACGACGCTACATCTATCAAGAGATCCGGCAAAGTGCTATCTTTCATGGTGATTTGTTTCTTACTGATTTTTCCATAAAGCAATTGTAGAATAGCTCATTTACTGACTTCAAATCCTGATACTTCCATGCAATAGATGTTTCCACAACGCTGTGTGCTAATTTAAGCCATATTGTGTTAACAAAGGGATCACTGGAGGTCTGCTAAAGGCAAGGAAGAGATGGTAGCCTCTGTGGTTTGGGCTCTCTCGTCAAATCCCTCTGATCCGGGTGAAAAATGTCAATTACAGCTTTGCAGGGCCATGGAATCCGCCAGCTTTGCTCGCTCACTGCTCTGGCCATGTAAATCAGTTCTTTACACCTGTCTATGTTCCTGGTGACAGTGCTCAACTTTTCCATAGACGAACTTCCTTCTGCCTATGGAAGCATCCTTTGAGTAAGCGTATTTCTCTGCTCTTTGGCTCTTAGATATTCCTTCCTACCTTCATTGGATTTCTGGCATTGCATTAACTTCTTTCTTCTCTTTAGTAGCCTCCATGGTTCTGGCTGGAAAAGTGGCTCTGTTGCATTCCTTAGTTTTTACTCTGTTGTCAAAATAAACCACATTTTTTTCCTCTTCTCCCCAACATGGCTTATTCACTTATTACTCAGTGTGTTGTATTGTTTGCCTCAAAAGACACTCTTACTAGCCTCTGCTCTAGCTTCTTCCTAGCACAGTGACCCCTACATTCACAAAGGGCCCATGAAAGACTATTTTTGAGGGGTATATGTTTTCTCTCTTCTATGTCCCTTATACTTAAACTATATTGTGTTTTTATATCTTTACATTTTGCTTCCCAGTTGGGCTCACATCTGTAATCCTAGCTACTTAGGAGGCTGAGATCTCAGGATCGCAGTTGGGAGCCAGCCTGGGCTGAAAAGCCCCTTTGAGACTCATCGCCAATTAACCACTGAAAAACTGGGAGTGGAGCTGTAACTCAAAGTTGTAGAATGCCAGTCTTAAGCAAAAGTGCTCAGGGACAGTACCAAAACACTGATTTCAAGCCCCAGGACAGACCAAAAAAAAAAAAAATAAGATTTCTAATCCAGTGCCAGCGGCTCATGCCTAATAATAGGTAGGCTGAAATTTCAGTTTGAAGCCAGCCCAGGCAGAGAAGTCTGTGAGACCTTATCTCCAATTAAATGCCAAAAAAAAAATACTCCAAGAGATGTGGCCCAAGTGGCAGAGCAATAGCCTTCAGCAAAATTCCTCAGGGACAGCCTGAGTTCAAGGCCCAAGCCTGGCACCGCCCCTCCCCGTCCTTTGTTGCTCTGTTTTCTTTGTCATTGTGAGTCCTGTGAGACAAAGACTATGGCTCCTCTTCATCTTACTCATCCTCCATTGGATCCACCACACAACTGGTGCTTTGCAATTGTTCATAGAATGAATCAATGGTGGCATTCATATTGCCTGCCCACCTGCTCAAACACAAGACAGTTTAACTCAGTGATAAGGATATGCTATAGCACTTGTGTAACCTGGCATCTAGTTACCTGAAAACACCACCACTAGATGTGTCCACAACCTTGCCCCTGGCCTCTCTCACCTCCAGGTGACACTGCTCCATCACTGCTGTCATTTTGCTGGACTTAACCTTTACTGGAAAAACACAAGGTAACCCCTATAAATCTTGAGTTCTTTTTCTTTAATCCACCTGCACCGGTCACATTTGCTTATTAAAGTACAGAGTGAATAATGAGCTGTTTATGGGTCTTAGAGTCATGGAAATGTTGAGCTTCATGGCACCTTAGAAATTAACTAGGATGAACATTTCATCCATGGATCAGGAAACTGTGTGACCTGAGAGAAGGGCACACATACAGAAGTCAAATTAGCTGATCATCTCCAGAGAGAGAGAATTTTCTAGGTTTTGCAAAATCATTAAGTCATTCGATCACATATACACACGTATACACACATATTACAGTTGAGTTATAGAGTTCCTTTCAATAAGATAGAAAACTGAACAAAAGCTTACTTATTTCATTTGATATCACATTTGAATTTGTAACTCTTTCTTCATGTCTTCATGTACTCCAGTGATATATTTTTGAAAGATACAATGTTAATGAAAAAATTATTTGTTACATGTGACCATCTGAAGTCCTGCATAAAATTTGAGGACCTTGACTTTCTCCAACTAAATTCCTAGGTATAGTGACAAGTGCCCTCCAGGTTTAATATGCCTTTGAGAATCAGTTTGTGATCAAGGGAACCTTTGTACCTATTCAATCTTGTCCTACCCTTTTATAACCCTCATTTACAGCTTATAAGATTACCAACTGTGTGGTTTTGTCTTCAGTAGATTGTCATAGAAAGGGACTCATTCAGAATGAAGCCTTTCAAAATGGCTCCAGTGAAAATGTGGATGATTGATGAATGTTGAGGATGCATGCGGAACTTGCAGTGTTGTATTCAAAGCTAGGCAGAACCGACCTTGCACCTTATCACTGAGCATTTGGCGTTTAGTGTTCCTGACAAATTAATTTTTGTATACAAGCATGAAGTCTATACCAGAGTTAATTTTATTTCATTTTGCATATGGACATCTAACTGTTCCAGTGCAATTGGCTAAATAGACGGTCCTTTCTCTGTCAAGCTGTCTTTTCATCTTTGTATAACACTTCTTTCCATTCAAGTGGGTCTAATTCTGAACAATGTCATCTCTAAGAGACAGAGAATCATAGACTAATCTATGCTATATTACACTTTTTTAATCTCTGAAGTTTTAAAACTTGAAATTGAATAGTATTGGAAGTTCATTTTTCCCTTTCTATCTTCTTTGTTTTATCCATCAAATTTCCATCATTAATTGATACATCATTTTACCTAGACTAGAGACTTATTAAGTTTTCTTATTATTATCTTTTTTTTAAATTTAAGACCTTTATTAACAGGTGCTTGCAGTTTGTTGACTTTTTTGAAAAAATCAAGTTGTAAACTTTTATTACAAATTAAAAATGAAGCTCTTAAAAATCTCAACTTGACTAGATATGAAACAATTTAAAAACCTTTAAAGGTGTATTGAGAAAAACCAGGCTTTCTTTTTTTTAAGAAAAACACGTTTGCCATTACCAAAAAGAGAAATCTTTAGATAAAAATAATAAAAACCCCATGCTGCATAGATAATGCAGATAGTTCTAGTTATCTGGTCAACGGGCAAAAAGCAAGCACTTAAAGTCTTCAGCTCCAATCTTTTGTTCATTTCTTATTGCTGGAATTTCATATTCATTTCTTCTTGTTGGATGACTAAACCGGATGATGGTAAATATGGTAAGCCAGCATTTACCCAGCCCTGCCCTGCTCAGCCTCTGGAGCGAAGGAATTCTCAGCTGGTGGATCGGCTGCTTTTGTCTCTTTGCCGTCTTGTGGTTTAGGGTTCTCTGGGCGTCTGTGTCGGTAATTGAAATTGCAGCGGTACCGACGTTGAGGTGGCTGCTGACCTTGGGTCTCATCTCCTTGATTTTCCTTATCTTCTTCATTACCATCCTCTCTAGGCTGTCTTTGGCGAGGAGGGCCTCTGTGGAATCGTGGTCTATAACCCCGATACATATTCTGTCTCACTGGTCTACCTTGTTCTCCTGCACCCTGGTTGTCAGCACCCTCCATCTCTTCTCCCTGCGTCCATAGGGTCTCCGCATGTAGTAAGGTGGGAACCTTCGTCTGTGGTAGGGCCAGCGTTGTTGGGCCTGGCTTTCGGGAGCACTCTCCGATCCCTCATTCTTTTCCCCACTCTCACTATTCTGGTAATTCTGCTGGTAATTGCGTGGAGGACCCCTACGACGTGGATAGCGTCTATAATGGTTACGATCTGCTGCATATTTACTGCCTTGAACTGGAGCTGCACCAGGACCTGTAACATTTGCTGCCTCCGCACCCTTTTCTCCTTCACCAACATCAAACTCCACAGTCTCTCCATCTCCTACACTGCGAAGGTACTTCCTGGGGTTATTCTTCTTTATGGCAGTCTGGTGTACAAATACATCTTCCTTGGTGTCATTCCTGTTGATGAAACCATATCCGTTCCTTACACTGAACAATTTTACTGTTCCCAAAACCTTCGATGTGATGACTTTATTGTCCCTGCTGGCAGGCGCCGGGCTTGGTGTTGGCAGTGCTGAGGGCGGGGGCCCTTATTATTATCTTTAAGTAGTTGTAGAAAGGAGCTGGCAATTAACAAAACAGTTTATGAATATATCTTCATCAATATCACTCCTTTCAACATTCTCACATATTCCTTCCATCAATCTTCTCAATTTTTTAGGATATATTAGACTCTTTATTGCATTCTCCCTCTCTTCTCTTCATTCACCTACATCTTTCCCCTTGACCCTATACCACCCCTTTAGAGTGCCAATTCCTTGATATTTTTTTTTTTTTTTTTGCTGAACTTTGATTTTGCCTTTCTGAGGATTTACACTGAGATCTCCCTTGAATCTACTTTATTTCAGTTAATGAATTTGTATCCACTTGCATACCATCCAATGTACTTACTTATGATTTGTAAGTGAAATCTAGCTTCCACATATAATGGAAAGCATGCATTCTCTGTCTCTGGACCTGATTTATTTTGTCCAGGTCTTTCCATTTCTCTACAAATGATACAATATCATTCTTTCTAATGGATGAGTAAAATTCCATTGTGTATATATATCACATTTTCTTGAGTCATTTGCCTATTGAGGGCATCTGGGCTGAGTCCATATCTTAACTATGGTAAATAGTACAGCAATAAACATGGTTGTGCTGGTGGCTCTGGGTATCTTTCTGTCTCTTTAATTTCATTTTCTATCACTCATCAGCTATCCTGTGCATTTCCATCTTAGGGACTGCATTCTCCTTTCTCTTGCCCCAGAAGCTCTTTCCATTTGGGTCAAATGACTTAGCCATTCTTTCACTCAGACATGCTCACATACACCTGTGAAAGTAAGGTTTTCCCTAACTATTTTCTCTGTAGTGCACTTCTGTCATTTATATTTCTTAGCATGCATTTGGTTTGCTTTAGAAGATTTTTTTTTTTTTGGGTCCGGTTGTGGGGCCTGTACTCTGGGCCTGGGCACTGTCCCTCAGCTATTCAGCTCAAGGTTAGCGCTCTACCACTTGAACCGCAGCACCACTTCTGGCTTTTTTCTTTTTGCTTATGTGGTGCTGAGGAATCGAACCCAGGGCAAGACAAGTGCTCTACCACTGAGCCACCTTCCCAGCCCTGCTTTAGAAGATTTTTAAGTTATATATTTATTCATTGCTTTGAAGTTTATTTCCTGTGCTATATAGTTAATTTCTCTTTATGAAGGACAGAGTTTTTTCTATGCAGCATTTGAAGCTGTGGTTGCTAGGAGTAGATGCCTATGATGTGAATCTTAATTGCACATTTCTTAGTATAGCTAATGGCCAGATGTGAAGAAAAAACTGAAACAACAATTAAACAGAACTCGAAAGATTCACACAGTGAGAACAAAGGAGGATATTCTTAGGAGAGGATCACAGGGCTCAATAGCTATGTGCATATGATCATATAAAATGATGCTTATTGAAATAAACTCCAAGAAATGGAAACAAGAGGTTTTTATTGTACTTTGTCTGGTTAGTTTCCCCCCTTTGGTTTATTCCCTTATGTCTGTCACCATTTATGATTTCTGAACCCTTTGTCTTGCAGATAAGTTTATCTGATTTGGGGAGGGAGAGGAGAAGCACAGAAACAGTGGGACAAAGGGTGAACCAATTCAGCAGTGATACTAGACACTATATTGGAAATGAACTTCACAACTTGAGAGGAACACTGGAGAAAAGGAGGAAGGGGCTGGCATTGTTCAAAAGGAAATGTACTCATTACTTGACATGTAATTGTAACCACTCTATACATCACCTTTACAAAGAAAAAAAGAACTGATACAGCAAGCCTGCCCGTTATCCCAGGAATGCCTATTTTTCGGGTTGACTCTTGGCTACTATCTGAGACCATATATTTCAGAAGATTTCTTACCATTCCCAGTACTCAAAGAATGGCTTACCATGCTTCATCTGTTTGTGCAAACATCACGGTTTTTCTGAAAATTTGCTTTCTTCTGAGTGTTTGGGATTTTGTTACCCACTGAATGTCTACATAGCCATTCTCCAAACAATGCTCCTGATGATTTCTCTGCTAGACAACAGATCACACACAGCTAAAAAGATGATTTTTGGAAGAATTAAGCACATTTTGTGTGGCTCCATAAGACTTGGAAGTATGTATGTGTCTCCTACTGCTCAGTGCACCTTTCTCTTGGCCTATTTTCTTTGTGACCTTTTCACTGTAACAATCATAATCCTTGGTGTGTCTGGGCTTATTCTCATGAGAATATATGTATCTTCAGGACTGGAACTGAAAATAGGCTTAAAATACAGAAAGGGAGTTTTTCCTTTTCTTAAACATTACACATGTGGTCAGCATTAAGGGGGTTTTGTGGCAGGAGACAGGAAGTGGGATTTAGGATCACCACTATCCACATAAGGTGAGACCTAGTCTGAGAAGATCTAAGCCAAATTTTCATGGAACCAAAGCATTAGTGGCCATTTTGGAGCAATAGTGTGTTGAGGAAGGCTGTCAGATTCTGTATCTTGTTTTTCAGTTAGTGACTACATTATTTGGGAGGAGTTTTTCAGCTCCTTCATGCCTATTACCTCATGTAGAATGGAACCATTAAGAAAACAAATAGTTCATGTGAACAGAGCTTTATATGGGATCTGTTTTCCCAAGAGTGCAATACACAAGTATAATTCATGGTGGTGCCAAGTACTTACCAGGTAAGCAGCAAGCTTGGCTTTGCTTTGAATACTCAACATGAAGTCACATTTCCATTGGAACCTGGAGTGGCTGAGTTTTATTTGAGAACTGAGATCACTATCTGACAAGAGAGGAAGAAAATCAGACAGATGACAAAGTAGCAAGTTGATGTGGAGTAACTTTCTAGATTCACAGAAGTCTGTGTCTTTCAGCCATTGAAGCCATTTCAGAAGCCAGTATGGTGAGTCATAACTTCTCCAACATTTGTGGCCCCTTGCATTGAGCTCCAGAAATAAGCCATGAATTCTCCATTTTATTTCAGTTCAAATTTCCACAACCCCCAAAACTTCACATGGGCTGATTTGAGTTAATTAGAATTGTGGGAAGAGTTGAGAGCACAGAATCCTATCTAGTAAGATAGCTAAGGACCAGGGCATCTCAGCCTCTTCACTATTTTCCTATACAGCACTTACTCAGCAAAGAGTAGTGCTCTGCTTTCTCTTTTGATATCCTGAGGATGGAACAATACTTGGGCAGAGATGGAAGAGCCATTATCACCAAGAATTATGGATCCTAATATGATGCCAAAGAGGTCAGTTGTTCAGGATTGTCTTATGGAACTGAAACAGACATGCATGAATAAGGTTTAGGTGTGTAATTGTAGGGCTATCTGTTGCCTACCATAGTCCCTTGTAGTCTGACTAATCTATTAGCAGTTGGCTTTAATCTGTCTTGCTCCCTGCTCTTGCTCCCATTTTACCATCTCAAACTATAGTAATGGCTCTCCTATCATTCAATTGTCAAATTTTAGTAATTTTCACCAGACTTTCCATTAACCTCTTGGGACTTAACGAAGAAATTTTGTTATGGGGAATGCTGAAGAGGACAGCTTTATTTTCGTATCATTAAGTTTTTTTTTTTTAAACACATTTTTATATTTATTTTACCTTAAGAATGACTGAGTACCCAATTAGTCCCCAAAACAGTTCTTCTCCTTTGAGTCACACATAGTCCTCAGGAAAGTCACTTTACTAAAGACAATTCTCTATCTACCATTTGTCCACATTATGGATTCATCCATCATTTGTTCACATTATCCGCCCATCATCCATCCAAAGTTGGAAAGAGCATCATCACCAAATTTTGTTCCTCTATTTTAATGTCCTCTTTCACAGCTATTTTTCAGAGTGCATCTTTTCCAATGCTAACAACCACAGATGAGCTTTAATAGCCTTTCTCATTAATTATGAGAAATGAAGAGAAAATCTGTCTCAGGAGACACATTTTTATTTCCACATGCTCTTGATAATGTTAAGGCACTATGCGGTATCTCGAGGACTGCAGTGGACTCCAGAATACAAATTGCTCTTCTTGAGATTATTTGATTGCAATTCTCAGAGTAACTGCAATATTGGTATGTCCATTTTGACATTTCAGTTAGTATGTAGTGAACTGTTATTGTTGGAAGGGATAGGGATTTATTAATGGTAAATAAAGGGAGACATAGAAATACCAAGCAATGTCATTTACATCCATTTCATCAAAAAGGTGAGTGACAATCCATCACAGATTTGTGTTTTCTTAATAAGGGTGAAAGCAGAGACAGTAAGAAGAGTATTAAACCAGATGAACCCTTAAGGCCCTGTTCAATTTTAGTAGCCATAAACGATAACATTTTAGAGTTAAAAGTACCATATCAGACAATCTCTTCATATGCAACAAAACCAAAACCCATTGGGGTGATAACAGTAGTTATGATGAAGCAATTCTAGAGTCCTTGTTTTATTCGACATTTAGTAACTTTGATCACAAACAGTGTCAGGCAGGGCCTACTGCTGCAAAATCATGAGATTTTTCTGACCACATGTGTTTTGTGCCTAGTTTTTCACTTTATATTGCACCAAATTGTCAGTTGTTTGAAAGTGGTTTTTCCTCTGGACTAGCTCAGCTCTGAATGATCTTGATATTCCTTCTTTTAAAATATGTATTGATTGAAGGCTGGGAACGTGGCTCAGTGGAAGAACTCTTGCCTTGCATGCATGAGGCCCTGTATTTGATTCCTCAGCACCACATAAGCAAAAAGAAAAAAGCCAGAAGTGGCACTGTGGCTCAAGTGGTAGATCGCTAGTCTTGAGCTGAAGAGCTGAGGGATAGAGCCTAGGCCCAGAGTTCAGGCACCATGACTGGACACAAAAAATAAAAACTAAACTAAACTAAAATAAAATATGTATTGAGGGCTGGGAAGGTGGCTTAGTAGTAGAGTGCTTGCCTTGCATGCATGAGGCCCTGGGTTTGATTCCTCAGCACCACATAAGCAGAAAAAGCCCGAAGTGGTGCTATGGCTCAAGTGGTAG